CGGAGAGCTCGGGGAGTTCTCTCCCTACATGAAGACCGAAGCCCGGGCTGAAGACTAACTAGGACCCTGGACCCGGCCTTTCAGCCCTTCTGAGGGCTAAGGCTCGGCATATCCAGTGGTCAGGATCCACCGGGCCAGCGGTGGGTCAGATAGCCTCCCCTAGGCCCCAGCCGGAGTACTCTGGGGTCGGGTGGCGGTAGACATGCAAGTCCCGCCAAGCTAGGAGGCTGTACCTCCTTAGGTATCAAGGAGACCTGTGTGTAGGTTACGCTGAATCCGGAGGCTGTACCTCCATAGGGTATCGGGTGAGGGGACTGGATACCCCTCTGTGTGTTAAGGACTGTATGAAAAATGAATTACAATAAACAGAGTGTGCCCCCTAAGAAGTTTACTCGTCTTTACAACACTACACATGTGTCAGCTTTTATTAATATGCGTACACATGCAACACAACCCCTCCCCCCATCCTCCCATATGGATAATTACATTACAGTACATGTATCTGCAATCTTTTTTACATACAGTATCAAGTATAATGAATACGTATTACATATAATGTAGTGTATATTTTGCCACTACCTCTACTACCACGATCACTATGATCATTATAATCACGATCATCACCGTTGCCATCAGTAACACCATCACTACAATCATGGCCATCAGCAGTATCGCCACTGCCGTTAACTCATCCATCATCATTTCCAGTACAATTAACTACATTACAACCATCACTATCACCACAATTATCATCACCGTCACCGATGACGTGGATGTAAGTTGGACTTCTTTCGCACCGTACATGGCCAACCATGCTAATCGGGCATGCGGGTAACATCTGCCAACACCACAATTTTCATGACTGTCACTAAAGCCATTACGAATAGTATCACTATCATTTCTAAGTGTTCATCACCTCTACAACCAACACCCCACTCTCATTTACCATCTTCAAATTACCATCACCTGTAACACGCAACACGAGCAAGAGCAGCTTCTCGACCACGATCAGCGCCATCACCACTACTATCAACACAATCATGACCAACATCGTTGTCCATTCTCCAAACTTACCTCTCACTGACGCGATGGGATAACATTTAATAACATTCAAAATGCTCACAAGTGGCAGAGCCAGTATCTGGCTCTGTAGAGCCAGTATCTGGCTCTGCCAAAGAGACTCAGAGAGATCCACACATGCGCAGATCTTCACAGACATGTACTTAGACCCACATACACACAAAGAGAACGACAGATGACCACAGAGACTCACAGAGGAGAAGATACCCACAGACATGCATAGAGATGTACAAACACCCAGAAGACTCATAGACACGCACAGCGACGCACAGACACACAGAGACCCACAGACATACATCGAGACCCACAGATACCCAGGGAGACCCGCAGACACGCACAGAGACCCACAGACCTGCACAGAGACCCACAGGCACTCAGAAACCCACAGACACGCACACAGACCCACATACACAACAACAACCGCCATTCGCCATTAAGTGGTGGTGACGTCACCATGACGCTTGTGCCAGGCTATGTGCACCTTGAGGCCACGTGAAGTGTCGAACGCCCGCTGGCAGGAGGTCACGGCGCAGACCCAGGTGCCACGGGTCGACTGACTGAGATGACTGGCTGATGCAACACCTGTGCCCCCTACTGTGCCAACTTGCTGTGCTTTAGCCACCCGGCGCTCCGCTCGTTGTTGTGAGCGTCGCTCCTCCGCCCTCTGTTGTTGTAGGAGGACGACTGCCTCCAACTACCCAGTAGCGTCCTTCACGAGCCTCCTCCACAGAGGCCGATCTTGACACCGCTGGTACCAGTCATCGGCAAGTCCACTCAGCTCCACGTCCTCCTGTACCACATCACTTTATCTCTTCTTTTGCCCTTGCCGCGCCCGTTTAGCCCCCTCGATCCGGCCAAACAAAAGCTGTTTGGGCATGTGGTGGCTGGGCATGCGGGTTGCATGACCCAGCCAACGTAGCCTTGCCTGCCGGAGGAGCTCACCAATGGGACTTTGTCCACATCTATCAAGGATTTGTGAGCTCCTCACACAATCCAGCCTGGTTAAACCCAGGATGGATCGTAGGCAGACCAGCCTAAATGTTTCTAACTGGCGAAGATGTTCCATTAGGGGGGCCCACGTTTTGCAAGGGTAGAGAAGGGAGGGAATGATTGTGGCCGAGAAGACCTGAAGCTTCATGTGGAGCAACAGACCTGGTAGCTTCCACACAGCGTTATGCAACCGATGAAAAGATAATGCCGCTCGACTGATTCGGAGTGAGACCTCTGCTGTCAAACCAGGGCCGGTCATGAGCACACTGCCCAGGTATGGGAAACTCTCCACTCTCTCCACAACTGCCCCATCACCAATTGGGAGTTGTGGGGGTGGAGTGTCCGATGGTACAAAATACCCAAGCAAGTGCTAAGTTTTGGTGGGGCTGATGGTAAGGCCCCACCTCCTATTGGCAAGCTCCAGGTTCAGCAGCAGCGCCTCCAACTCCTCCTCTGAGTGAGCAGCAATTATCAGATCATCGGCATACATAACATAGTTGACCAATAGGGAGCCATCCCTTGACCGCACCCGGGCATCGATCAGCCTCCCATTGTATATGTACCAGATGGAAATTCCTCCGGAACAGGTATTGAAGGCTTCACAAACTACGTGGTCGAAATAGGTGTAAAATAATGTGGGAGCCAGAGGACATCCCTGTCGCACCCCAAGGTGTACAGGGAATGGCTCTGACTCCCGACCACGTAGTTTTACCCGGGCCCGCTCACCATCATGAAGGTCCTTAATGATCGTGAGCAGAGGGTCAGGGACTCCAAAAGCACGAAGAACAACCCAGAGCCAAGGCCTACTGATGGTATCATAGGCCTTGACCAGGTCAATAAAGCAGAGATGTAGGTCTTGTGGGAATTCCCTACACCTCTGCTGTAGCAGACGGACAGAAAATATGGCATCTGTGCAGGACTGCCCTTTACTGAAACCGCATTGGGGCTCCGCAAGCCTCTTCTCAGCGTGCCTAGCAAGGCGATGTTGTATAATCCTTGCCAGGACCTTTCCCGGCACACTGAGGAGTGAGATGTCCCTGTAGTTGTTACAGTCTGTGCAGTCCCCCCCCACCCCTTAAAGAGGGGGACCACCAGGACATTCTTCCAATCCTGCGGAACCCGTCCAGTGGTCCAGACTGTTGTTATGATGTCATGTTTTTTTGGATGAGATCGCGTAAATATAAATGTGTCGTTAAATTCGTCACCACCCCGACGCGGCCAATTAGTAAGGTGTGTCACGTAACGAGAACGTGCCAATTAATTACTGGAACAGCAACACCGGTGTGTTGGAGAGTAAACCCACAACATTCCCAATTTGAGTGCGACGTTTCGCCAATAATTACAACTAGCTTCATCAGGCGACAGCCAGATTTGTTTAGTTCTTAAATGGAGGGATAAAAGTCGTCACCTGTGACCCAATCAGGTGCGAATGGTAGAGTTAGGTGGGGGGGGGTTAATGTATGCATATAGATTACAATCAATATCTATTACCGGTAGGGTTATTAATTCGGTAATCGTGGCGTGTTTTACAAAAATGTACACTTGATTTGGAGCTTTTAGTGACTGCAGGAATTACTTTTTGGTTCTTTCGGTAAAGTCACGTAGAAAGAAAATAAATTAAAAAATAAAATACGACGTTTCGATTGCAACACAAGCAATCATCATCAGGTACGAATGAAGAAACCTAGTAAACTTAGAAATTGTAATGCAATACAACACAAAGAGTCGGCTAACATAACAGTAACGTAATCAACCAGGTAGGGTGTTGACTGTTATGTTAGCCGACTCTCTGTGTAGTATTGCATTACATTTTTAAGTTTACTAGGTTTGTTTCCGCTTTCATTTGTACCTGTTCTATTATTTAATTTATTTTCTTTCTACGTGACTTTACCGAAAGAACCCAAATGTAACACATTTACATTTACGCGATGTAACACACAAAAAACTGGATGATGTACTATGGCGTAAATACGGAATCGGGGTGTGGGGTGTGTGGGGCTTGTGGGGGGGGGGGGGTGTGGCCTGTGCGGGGTGGGGGTGTGGGGGGTGTGGGGCGTGTGCGGGGTGGGGGTGCGGGGCGTGTGGGCGGTGCGGGGCGTGTGGGCGGGGCGTGTGGGAGGGGTGGGACGTGTGGGCGGTGCGGGGCGTGTGGGCGGTGCGGGGCGTGTGGGCGGGGCGTGTGCGAGGGGTGGGACGTGTGGGCGGTGCGGGGCGTGTGGGCGGTACTGGGCGTGTGGGCGGTGCGGGGCGTGTGGGCGGTGCGGGGCGTGTGGGCGGTGCGGGGCGTGTGGGCCCCGCCTCATTCATTTTTCCGGGTTCCCGCCTCTTGGGCAGGTCGCGTTCGCGCTCCGCGCTCTGCGCTGGGGCCTTCTTCACTCGCGCGGAATCAGGAAGACAAAAAAAAACCAAAGGGGCAGCGCCGTCTCCTCGTTCTTCTCCCCAGGGCTGAGCGACGTGAGTGGCGGAGACACCGAGCCAGGGGCCCCACGATGCCCTTCCGTGAGATGCGACCGCTGGCACGTCGGTGCGGTCTGCGAGATACAAACCGCCCGAGGTCTATCGGGTCTATGAAATGCAAACGCGGTGTTACTGTATGCAAACTCGTCAACCCGTACCGTATTCTTGTACAGGGGACATCGAGTACAGTATTCAGGTCCATACTGGCGTACTAGCAGGTTCATAACGGGCAAAGTACATTGTCTATTTGAGTTTCTCCCTTTTTAATGGGACTTTGTAGGCTGAATGTTCAGATTCATAACGGCAACGTGGTGACCAGTAAGGTCTCAATTTATAACACGCAGGCTTTCGCGACCAATATTATTCATGATAAAGGTTTTTGGGTTAGATCGCGTTGTTTATAAATGTGTCGAAACCCTCCACCACCCGACACGGCCAATCAGCAAAATAAAGTGTCATGTTGACAAAAGACAATTAGTTCACTACTTTAACGCGACCTAACCCAAAAACCTTTATTATGAGTAAGGTCTCAATTGGTCCGTAATAAGAGAGGGCACTGATAAGGAAGTTGACATGAATGGGTAAATGCGGAACTTGATTACTTGCAAAAGGTATTTTTTTTTTAATTTGGTGATTAAAACAACGTTATAATGTTTGGAAACGCCAATTCGGCCCTGTCACTCCACTGCTGGATGAGGGGCCCTCTATCGCCATAGCTGCTCAGTGCGGGCTTGTCAAGTCGGATAGGCGCGGTTGGCCACGTACGGTGCGAAAGAAGTTCAACGTACATGTCGGACAGCAGCATAATACAGTACACAACTTTTTTTAAAAAATGCCCAGTTCTTTGCTGTCTACCGTGTGACCCCCCTCCACCGCAGCCTATAACACCTGCGTTCTGCCTGGTGGTCACCTGTACAAGTAGAATTCTAGGACAACCGTATTCCGGCTTGGGATCTCACGAGATCGGGCGCGTCCCCTCCCCCCCCATCTGTGATTTTATCATCGTACACGTGCAGTCGCATTTTAAGACATTGCCCCAAACAAGGAGCGGTACACGAAGATCCTGGACGAAAGGAGGCATTTTTATCGTGAATAGAAGAACTATGAAGCAGTCAGTCATGTGCAGCAGCAGCAAACAACAAAAAAAAGAGTCGCTGGTTTCTTGGAACAGGGCCAGAGAGTACGCGGAACTCCTCCTACTTACGAACGAGTTAGGTTCCAGAGGTCTGTTCGTAAGTCCAACTTTACTCCCGTCGATTCTAAACGCGTTGTACGATGTGTGCACTAAACACGGGGAATGGATTTAAAAGTTGTGTAATCTGTAGATATAGATGCAGCTGGTTCTTAATGTTCTGCAGATGTAGATGCCGCCGCCACCACCATCTGTTGCGTAGCGGTTGAACTTGCAACTCTAGGTCTGAACAGGCAACTGGACATACGGGCAGGTTCATATTATCTGAAAGTTCGTAAGTCGAATGTTCCTAAGTAGAGGAGTCCCTGTACTCGACAATGCTAATCGAACCGCTGATTAGCACGGTTGGCCACATACGGCACAAAAGATGTTCAACATAGGTACATACAAGGGAGTTCCAGATCGTGGGGTCAGCAGAGGAAAGTGGGCACATCCTTCCACTCGGCAAAGATTGACTGGGAACTTGGGACAAAAATCCTTGGTTATTGGAGCTGAGAGTGTGTGTGTGGAGGGGGGGGGTATGGTGAGTTGAGCGGTTAAGAGTGTGTGGAGAGAGCAGAGTGAGATGAGTGGGAAGTAAATGGAGATTAAATGGGAGAGAGAGGCAGGGGCGAGTCCATCAAAGGGCTTGAATATAGTGAGCGGGTTCAGGAAGTTATCTGGGATTGGACTGGGGGAGGTCGTGATGGGATTGGAGGACAGGTAGGTTTTGTATTCATTTGGAGTATTTGGAGGTCATATGAGGTGTGGTATTGTTCCGCTTCTACTGCGGAATGTAAACCAATGAAATTGAATATCCACATCTTCTCCCCACAGACGAATCGTACAGAATGGCGTGTGCAGTGGCCACCCCGGTGCTGGAGCCTAGCGGGGACTTCCCGGCGTGGCTGGAGGCGCAGGGCGTGAACGCGGAGGTGGCCCGGGCCATGGACTCCGAGCTGGGCATCCGGGACTACGGGGTCCTGCGCGCCTGCGTCGGGGACGGCCTCGTGCGGGCCGAGCTGCTGGCCGCGGCGCGCGACCGCCTGCCCTTCGGTTTCTACGCCGTGCTGCGGCAGGTGGTGAAGGCCCTGCAGGGCGCCGAGCACCACGACGCTGGGACGCCGCACTGGGACAACGCTGCCGCTTCCGCCCCTGGCGACGTGACCCTGGGAGGCCTGGTGGAAGTGCTGCTCGCCCTGTTCAAAGGCTTGAGCCGGGAGCTGCTGCTGTCCGTGCAGAGGCTGAGTGATTGGGATGGAGTTCAGTATCCTAAAGCTTCGTTAGACACAGATGTGTTCAGTCAAGAAGATTTGACAGCTGAAATGGAAGATGATCTAATACATGGTATTTATACATTACCCTGTCAGTAATACTATCATACTACATAAGAAACACTTTTCTGGCTGGTTTCCTGCCGGGATTCCTGGCTGGCGCTCAGCCAAGTGATCGGGCGCGGTGGTGACGTCATCCGCAACCCACAGCTTTTGAGCTGGGTGTGTGTGCTGACGTCACACCCCCCCCCCCCCATGCACCCTCCACCCTGGACGTGTATCCTGTGCAAATGCACGGGATACACTGTCATACAATCATGCTATATTGGAAAAAAATATATGCTGGCTGGAGGGATGGACGTTCATATCCAAAAGGACATGCTGGCTGCTAATATTACAGATAAAATGTATAAAGGTGCAAACTGCAATGACTTGTTCACGCCACTGCTGGCAGGAGCTCCATTAGAGGGAACTCTAGAGAACCCCTCATAGAGAACATGCCCTAGTCTTGCACACTGGCCAGAGATCTTGCAAGAGGTGAGATAAGGTACACTTTATCCCACCGCACGCAGCTTGCCAATGGACTGTGGTGTACCCATTCTGCTGGCTAGACAGAGGCGTCGTGATTTAAGAAACTCAAGCTATCACCTCAGCTGTCGCACTCTCGCAGATCGAGTCGAACTGGCAAAAATCTGGATTGCAAGTCCTGTGTGCCAAGCATTACACCATGGCAGCATCCATTATAAAGTAATGTTCTTCTGATTTGTCAATTTTAGAAATTAAGTGACAATGTCAGGAGAGAACAAGCACAAAACTCGCCATTCCAGTGACGGCTCAAAATTGCTTCGAGTTATGTCGATACCGAGGTGACGTATGGTCAAACAGCCCCATTGAAAAACGTGACGTGGGGCACCATCCAGCACTGGAGTGGCAAAGAGCCGTAAATTGTTATGATTTTATCATTTAAATCTTGACCACAGACCAAACTATATTTTTGTGCTAAAATTCATATTTTGTAGCCTTCCAATGTGATGTGGGGTTGTACCACATGATGTTTGGAATTTTGCTCCCAAGTGCTGGGAGATTTTTCAGCCATTCTAGAATTTTACTTCCATTATATATAAAAAATAATCACTCAATCAATTACGACCATACTGTCTGTATAAAACATGTCGATGTGTTATTTGGGTTTGTTGCAGATGAGCCAGAAGAGATAGAAGATCCAGTCGATGATGACTTAAAACATAACTTGACAGTGAACCTTTTTAAAATGGAGCCCTTTCCAGGTACAGCCATTACCTTCATTAATCAAATATGCAACACATTCACCATATGTAGCAACTTTTGTGAACCCAGTTCCAAGACCTTCCTGTACTCTGCCTATGACTCCCCGACTTCCATCCATGAAGTATCTGAAATGTACTTTTTTCCCCATCCACAACTGGATGAGGGGCCTCCCCAGTCTGCGAATCATGGGAATTATTTGACCACCCTTCACGATGCACAGTGCAGGTTGATGACGGGTGGAACATAGACATGGCAGTACGGTGCAGTACAACAATGAATTTGGCTGCACTGCCGTCTTCTGCCCACCACGTAGCCCCGAAGTATATAAAAAAACCTTGTTATGGTGGTTAACCAACCAACCACTGTCCAGGTTCAAAGAGCCTGATTAGCTTCTGAGATCTAACGGGATCAGGTGCATTCTAGGCGATTTGGTTAGACATAAATGACAGCCCGCAAATTGCCTGAAACATTTTTGTGGCATGTCTTGTCTGACCGTCATTCGTTCTTGTCCGACGCGTTTTCCAGATGCCGTCACTGATTTCACAAATCCCGTGCTGATACCTCAACCGTCGCAGTGCAACTCTGAAGCGCAAGCTACAAATGAGCAACTCGGTAAGAGATCGAGTTAGGTTGCAGACGTGCAACACTGATGCAGTTTAAAGGGTGACTTTAAGTACATGAGACTCGATGCAGATCAGCGCCAGCATCATCGTGAGATTGTGTTCGCACCGCATCGCCTCCTCTCCCAGCAAAATTTTTCTCATTGAGAGTAGGTTTGAGGCCAGATCGATGGTTAGCGCAACGCTTTAATTAACCCTACGACCTGAGTTTGATTCCCACCTGGGCTAACCTCATTGGCGAGTGATATCCGAACCCGTGCCTGCACCGCCTTCCCCATCGCCAACCCACTCTTTAGTACAGTCACATGACCCCAGTGAATGACACTTGGGAAGAACACTTTGTTAATCCAGCAGTGGATTAACAAAGGGATGTGAACTACGATTACATATTTATAAAAACAAGCCGACCCATGGAAAAGCTGATTTTGTTTCAATCAAACTACTATATACCCTCCAATCTCTAATCAATCTTTACAATAGGTGTAGTTTTAACATAGGATATTAAATGTTGGGCTTGCATCTCATCACTTTTCCCACTCATAACAAGCTCATTACATGTATGTGTATATTATAGAGGATTTTTATAAGTATATGGACAATATATATGTGCACTTACTGATTCAGTCGCTCACTGATGGTCAGTAACTTCATCACTTATTGTATCATTCCTGCTATGTTCCCATGAACCTCACTCATTTATTCCTCCACCAATATTGAGGACTGGGTCTACCACACTGTTTTTTGCCACCATATTGCTTGTGGAAACGCTGCTCTTTCTGCTTCTTTCCTTGCACTGCTTGTCTTTGGAATACCACTGCTATCGTCGAATTTCCCAAGTTCTTATAACCTTGCTCAATAACTAATTATCTTTTACAGCTTCAATTATGCTATTTATTGCTGACTACCTGGTGTCTTTGGGACCCAGGAGTCTGTACTCGGCGTTCGTTATGAAAATACATAAATGCATTGTAGTCTTTTTTTTACTGCTACAAAATCTAATTGGTGGCATCGGCTTTGGCCATGATGACATCTTGATTGACTTTCTGGTAAAGGTGAACATCATTTGGCTGACCATCCCGGAATCTTGATCCAGAACGTGACTTCACTGCCAGCATCGGGCACAACCGCTGCGTTCACTCAACCTTATCCGTGGCCTCAGCAAGAGGCGGCTGAAACATATGGTGAAGAAACTGCCGCCAAGAAAAAATCCCATCCACCGAAGCAGCAACGCTCATTTGCATCGAGCAACAGGAAAACGAACCCGGGAATCCACAGAGAGCGGGCCGCCTCCGTTGGCAAGAATGGACCGTACGTGTTAAAACGCCCGAAGGCGGATATGCTGGAGGGCACCAAAGAGAAGCCGTACCAGTGCGAGCTGTGCGGCTGGAGCTACTCCCACACCTCCAACCTGAAGCGTCACCTACGCACGCACACAGGCGAGCGGCCGTACCGCTGCAACGTGTGCGGAAAGACGTTCTCGCAGAGCTGCCACATGAGGTCGCACAAGCGCACGCACACGGGCGAGCGGCCGTACCGCTGTGACGTGTGCGGCAAGACGTTCACGCGCTCCACCATGCTGCGATTCCACCAGTGTGCGGACGTGGAACACTTCCCGTGAGCGAGTGAAATGTAGGAGCTACACGAACGAGCCGGGTCTGCGACTTCAGTTGATTAGTCTGTAATATAAATAACGCTATTTCTGCGTTGGAATAGGGCCATGGTTTTGGTGGAGTGTTCTTGCCCGTGCTGTGTCCTGTAACTAACCACACGGAGACGTCTGCTGGAGGCAACACGTTTATTATAACAACTCTTAACACTCTGTTAACACTACTCTGTTACCCACTACTCTGTTAACACGGAGGGGTACGGCTCCTTCCACTCTGGATAGCCGAAGGCGGAGACAGCCTCCCTTCTAGTGTACTCTACCCACTCCGGGCGACGGCGGCTAGGGGAAGGCTGGACCGACCGACCCACCCAGGATACGGGACTCACCCTGGACCGCTAAAACCCTAGCTTAGCGAGGGCCTCGGGGAGGGTCCCAGGGGGTCCGAGCTACCTCGGCTCCGCTACAACCGGCTTAACGGAGCCTTGGTTGAGCGTCCCTGGGTGCCGGTCGGGTCTTCAGATCTTCAGATGTCTTCGAGCTTGAGTTGGTGAATATTGCCTCGATCGTCCCCAGGTCGGGGTCACCCCTCCCCTCATGACCCCCCCGCTAGAACCTTCTGGAAGGTCTGTCGGCCCGTGAGCGTGGTGGCAGGTCAGCTGCCCACAGCGCCTTATTACGGCGCAACACCTATATGTATATATGTTGAACTTCTTTCGCACCGTATGTAGCCAACTGTGTTAATGGTGAGGGGGAAGGACAGCAAGCTAAACACAAAGCAGTTGTAAATAAATGAGTTTTCAATCTAGATTTAAAAGTGCAAAGCTCCAGTGGCCTCCTTGCCTATAATAATCGTAATTTACACTTAGAAAGTGCGTTTCACCCAGAGGTCGCAAGGTTGTACAAAGCTAAAAGCAAGGAAGTGGTGGGTGGGGGGTCCCCCTCAGCCCCCACCCCTGTCGGCCCGTGAGCGTGGTGGCAGGTCAGCTGCCCACAGCGCCTTATTACGGCGCAACATCACCCCCCCCCCCCTCCGTAGCACCCAGCTGTCTCGGCTGGCAACAATTTCAAAGTGTAAATTAACGAAAGGGAAAAAATACGCACGCCTCAACAGGAACAAACAAGAACCTAATCATAAATACCCTAAACCACTTGTACAAACTTACACCATATACATGCGTTAATCAACGAAGAGGTGAAGCAATGATGCGTGAACAAATGTACCCCCCAAACCAGTGCAATAATGTCAGAGCAACGTGTGCCTGGTTCAATGTGGAGTGTGACTTGTAAGCGAGTCGGGGGTGATGAAAATCTGTGAGTCCGGGACCGGGTCCTCATGGCCGGGCCGCCTTTTGAGCACGGCCCCCCCCAAGGCGGTGGGACCCGTGGGTGCCGGTGATGGCGACATGTCAGGGGGTCGTTCGGGATGGGTGTCCGGGGGTGCGGGGGAGCTCCTTTCGGCTTGATGCGGTGGAGCTGACGTCAATGACGCCCGTGCAGGCGTCGGTCATGCGGCGCCTGGGGAAAGGGCCAATTGTAGCTCCGCATCAGCAGGCATGCAGCCCGGCTCGTCGGACAACTCACCACAACTGGCTCGGACTAAGGGGGGATGAAACAGGAGCACGTGACACAAAGATCGGCTTTAGACGCGACGGATGCATGTACCGGCTGCGGCGACCCCACGGAAGCTGCACGCATTAGGGCCGGACCACACACACCACGTCAATGACGTTTCGGGCGCAACACAAGCGTCCGTCATCAGATGGGACAACCACAGCAAGAAACAATTGCTGAAGTGGGCAAAAGGGCTGCTGCAACAAGAGGCCATATAGGCAAAAGAAGGGGGGAGGAGCCAGGGAGGAGAGACAGGGAGGGTGGGAGTGTGGTGTAGGGGGAGTGAAGGCTACAAGACACAAGTTCGGCAAAAAAATGCCGGGGAGGGGAAGTGGCGGGGGGGGGGGCTAGGAGTGGGAGGGTTATTTTATACCTACGTGACTTTTTCGAAAGAACCAAAGAGTATGGATCTCTGCAGTCACGAAAACTTCAAATCTAGATTAAATAGACCTCTGATTAAAGTTGTTTTTAATTTAAATGTGGAGACACCAAACGGAGTTCTGCTTATGTACAATTTTCATTGAGGGTGGCTCTCACAGGTCAAGAGTGCGGAGCTGGAACTGCTGCGATTTTCTAAGTTCGATTATCTGCGTCTATCCACGCTTCGTTGCTTGCACGAACTGAAGCGCTGTGTGTGGATAACAGGATCTGCCGATAGCTTCCTCCTACGTCATTCTGTATTCGAGGGTCTTCACTGAACGGTGTGATGGATATGCCTTTAAGTGTTGTTCAGAATTATATTTCTAATTAATATTGAGCGGTGTTTTCCGTGGAAAGTCTGAAGCAGTTTTTATTATATATTTGCACTATGCACAAATTACTATCTTTTTGCGTAGTGTCAAAAGTAAATCTAGGTGATACCTTTTCACGGAAGTAATAAACATCGACTGAATAAATAATGTTCTGGTGACTGTATTCGAGAAAAAGGCATACATATTCATGGAGAAACATAAGCATCTCATATTTGCTGATGACAGAAAATATGACCGTTGTCAGATGGAAATGACCTGCGGGGAAAAGTTATGATTTAATAAAGAGTCTGAAATCTTGTGTTTGGGTTGAATGAGAACAAATAAGGTCATTAGACAAGGTTAATAAAAACACTTCATATATTGGAAGGACAACTGGAAAACGCATCAGAATATGTATACCTAGGACAGCTATTAAAAGCCTATGACATCCAGATGTTATGACGCCACGTGACATTACACCTGAGCACGAATGTGTACCTTATGTTAGTAGGTCTCATTTATCTTTCAACTTACAAATTGTTGTTTTTATCTGCAGCACTGTCATCTATATCTAATTTAAATCAGTTTCAGTTCACTAATCTACATTTAAAATTTTCACTCTTTCATGACTGCAGGAATTCTTATTCTTGGTTCTTTCGGTAAAGTCACGTAGACAGAAAATGAAGATTAAATTAAGTTAAAAATAAAAGCAAAAAAAACCCACGACGTTTCGATCACAACACAAGCGGTCTTCATCCGCCAGCTTTTATTTTTTATTAAACATTTTTTTTATTTTCTATCTACATGACTTTACCGAAAGAACCAAGACTATAATCTACATTGTCTCCGTGACCATATCTCTGACCACTCAATAGCTTGGGTCACTTTCAAGAACCATCGTGGGCCTCATCTGACCCTCGATGTCGCCAGTAACAAAACCCAGGATTACAGAATTACCAGAATGAACTTATTTAGACAATTTATATGAAGAGTACATACTGCATCAGGTACTTTTACATTTTGAAGTGTAACTGAATGTTAATCAATACAACACCTGTTAAAAGTCTAAGTATCCCTATATTTACATATGCTTTTAGAATTAGTGCTGGTCTTTCGCCAGTGGTGGAATTCCCACTTTCCTTCAGTGAGGGCCAATCAACAGCTTTCGATTTCTGCAGCGAAGGTTGGAAATTCCACATTTTTCTCCCAGGAACAATCCTTAATGAAAACACAACCCCCCCCCCCACCCTATTGATTTTGCTGCACCAAATGGTGCACATTTTACCCTTCCCAGAAGGAAGATGACGACGATGTTAGTTAAATAATGCTTATATAATCTCAGTCTTCCCAATGTTTAAAGGGTCCAGTGAGATGCACAGCAGTTTTGTAAATCTCCACTGTCACGTGTCTTATCCACCACACTGATTACAGGGGTTGGAGTATATCGTGCGGTGGACATACCCACGTGTTACACTGCTGCCCCTCGCAGGCAGTCCGTCAATACAGACGTAACGAGCGTACAGCACTTAGAAGTGTTTGTCCGTAACAAACTCGCGCTCGAGAGTTTATACCACCCTTGCCCTGGAATCAAACCGGGTGCCTCCGGATAACGGTACCAATATGCAACCTGTAATATGATGCCTCATGTATGCAAATAATTAATTGTGCATGTACATGACACAGGAATAAAACGGCAAACAATACAAAATACACAAATATACCATAAAACCATCAGTATACGTGAGAGTTTGGAATGTCTCCCGTGAGAGATTTTCCTCACTTGGCTATGCATAAAGTACACCGCAACAAGTGTTGGATAATAACGATGCACGTCGTCGTAAATATATTGACATCCATTCCAGATATACAACCAAATCAACAGTAAGGGAGTGCCTGGTAACAGAGTAATGTAAAAGATAAGGTAAAGGCGCAGTCCTGCAATTGCTTGCTCACATCACTGCTGGCAGGACCTCCATTAGAGGGAGCTCTTAGAGTCCCTCTTGAGCAGTGGTTCGCAAACTTTTTTGGCTACTGTTACCCCCCCCCCCTGTTGAATTTTGTTTCAACCGAGTAACCCCAACTTTCCTGGCCCAACATGGTTGAGAAATGTATGAATAATGAACACGAACATTTTCACCAATTGTCAATTTTGTGAGTTATCCCAACTAGCTAGTAACTGCAAGCGAAAACAAAAAAAATCACCGGACCCTCTGCATGAATGACGCCATTTGTTCGCGCTCGCGGGTTACCCTTTGAAACCCCACATTGTTTACGATCAATGAGTCTAGCAAGGTCTTTTATATCATTCCAGGTTATCATATGGATTTATTTTATCTTGGCAGATTCACAAATTATTATTCACCAATGACTCGCATGTATGATATAATTTCAGGCAGTTATAAACACCTCACCTGTGACATTGCCACGTACACCCCCGGGGGGGGGGGCGTACACCCGGTTGAGAATCACTGCTCTAGAGGGCATTTGCTCCGCTTTCACCCTGGCCAGATTCCTTGGAAGAGGTGGGAGCTCCCGCACCTTACCACGCCACATGCGAGCTTCCAGTCGCCTTACTGCGGTGATTTTGAGATTTAAAAAAACTTGCTATTTTACCTGCCACGCTGGGATATTACAACAAACCCAACCCACAACCTCTAGATTACAAGTTCAATTTGCAAACCCTTCCCATCACGGCAGCATCATGTATTCTTGCATCATAAAATGTGGCAGGAGCTGCAAAGGATCTACCACCAGGAGTCCATTCACGACCGAGCTCGCCGAATGTCGCTTCACCGTCTTCGCTCTGCGTCTGTGGAGTAAGCTTCCTGCGGTAATACGCAATGAGCGATCGCCTACAGTCTTCAAGAGATGGCTGTAGATATATCTGCATGAAAGAGCATTTGGGCGACACTTGGGCTTTGGGCCGTGCGCTCTAGACTTGCACGAGCGACTCGCTGCACGAGTTCTACACCAGTTCTACACCGCGCTCTATTAATAAGACATTTTTATAGAAGATAGGGTTATAGGTTCACCTTCCATGTTTCATGTGCACATTGATACCATTACACATACATAGTGTTCGTAGGAAGTTCCATCCGTTCCTCGACACTGATATAAAAGCAATGAAGTTCTGTCCACATCTGACTACTCGGAGGACTTTGTGTGTGTGTGTATATATAGTGACCACCACTGGAAGTCCATGCATTACTAGATGCTAATTTGGGGGAATACTGCATGTTGTATGTCACTGGGGATCCATACATTCCCGAACATTGATAGAGGATACTGATGTTTGTAGTGGACACTACTGGAAGTCTTTACATTTCTGGAGAGTACATGTCGTATACATCACTGGAAGTCCATATGCTCCTGAACATTGATGTAGGACGCTGTTGTGTGGAGTGGATGCGATTGGAGGTCCACATTCTGGGACACTGTCACAGGGGGACTGCTGTGTGTAGTGTACATCACTGGAGGTTCACACATTCCTGGACACTGATACAGGAAACATTGCGGAGTGGGCATCACTGGAGGTCCAAACATTACTCGACATTGATACAGGATATTTTAGTGTGTTGCGGACATCACTGGAGGCTGATACATTCCTGGACATTGATACAGACGACTGATGTGTGTAGCGGGCACTACTGGAGGGCCATGCCATTCCTAGACACCGATACAGGGCACTGCTGTGTTTGTATCATCCACCATCGGAGGGTCCATTCCTGCACAACGATGCAAAGGATTCCTTTGGACACGGGCCACCGCTGTACGTCTGTTCGCACTTTGCCGATCGCTCCGCCTCAGGCTCACATGAGCTGTAGCTTTCCGACGAGCTCCAGCACCTTGCTCCTCCTGCAGAGTGCTCGTGGTGCCGGCATGCCGTACACGTGCTCGAGGAAGCCATAGACGGGTGCCACCTGCGCCGGATACTGCACCCCGCACACCCAGAGCAGCTTGAAGAGCTGATCCAGCGCTCCAACCAGTGTCGACTGCCGCAGCGTCAGCGCTACGCCGGCGCCGCGTGCCACGATCGCGTAGCTCGGACGCCCCGATCCCACCGCCGGCGCCACCGCTCCGATTCCAAGGCCGACGAGGTAGGGCTGAGTCCGCGGAGGAAAGATGGCAGCGTCGTCGAGCAGCGCACTGGCGCTCGTGCCCACCTGTTGATTCGTATTTTGCCGATGAAATTTTTTAACCCGGATTTACCCCTTCATATTGAACATCTCCTTTACAAGGCAGGGTTCAAGTGACACAAACATGGCAAAGGCTTATATAAACATGTTAAAATATGCGTGCAGTATACGTTTATACAATGTCAAGTACGTTTATACAGCACAGAACACATGTATGTACATTTCTAGTGTAGAACTGAAATAAAGTTAAGTCAGTTGGTTTTCGCAGGCACTCGTAATCTAAGCATGGTCTTCTAGGTCAGGCCATGTGCTGGGCGTTTCTTCTGTCAAGCTTCTGCCACACACTACTGCAGGCATCGACATCAACTCCAGAAGATGCCCACATCAGTTCTTGAGGAACTAAGGTAAATCCCCGCAGCATTGCGTGGCGAAAACCTTGACGGAAGATACGCACAACACGTGGCCAAGCTCGGAAGAGCGCACTTGCGGCGGATGGAAATATTACAAGCTAACACAGCAGCCAATCCTACATTTGAAGGTGATTCTTTGATTAGAATAATTATTAGTAGAGCTGCCCCAAAACCACCTGGGTCATAGCTACGTTCCAGCTTGTCTGGTTCCTCAGCGTGGCGAGATGCAATTTGCATGAACGACGCTATCATAATTAAATATTGTCATGAGATTAATTCATCTTCTTTGGTTTTTTCGGTAAAGTCACGTAGAATGATAATAAAATAATAAATTGATAAAATAAAATAACAATAATATTCTCACGACGTTTCGGCCACAACACAAGCAGCCTTCATCAGGTGAAGGGGGCGAGACTGTCTGGTAGGACAGCGCTGGAGTGAAAGAGCCACGTTCAGATACGGCCTTTAAGCTGCTGCAGAAATAGAGGCCGTATCTGAACGTGGCTCTTTCACTCCAGCGCTGTCCTACCAGACAGTCTCGCCCCCTTCACCTGATGAAGGCCGCTTGTGTTGTGGCCGAAACGTCGTGAGAATATTATTGTGTTATTTTATTTTATCAATTTATTATTTTATTATCATTCTACGTGACTTTACCGAAAGAACCAAAGAAGATGAATCATTGCAGTCACGAAAGCTTTAAATCGAGATTAATTCATTCAAAATTCTCACAGAGCAGCGCAGCACCCACCCCCCCCCCCATGTCAGAGAATGGCCCATGGAAAGAGATATTACGGAACCACTTCTGAAATATCTTCATAGTGACCTCTTATCCACAAATTAGTGTGCAGCTTTCTTCCAGGCATCCCCGCTACAGAGAGGAATGTGTGCCGCATGACAACCAAACCAGTATTAAACACTCTCAGAGATGGATTTTTTTGCCAAATTTAACACGATTTTTATCGTTGTGGCCATTGGTGACCGAGCCGAGAGCATCAACCTGCTGCTCCTCCGATGAACACGGTTGGCTACATACGGTGCGAAAGAAGTTCAACATACATACCCGATAACCCGGTTTAATCACAGGCGGTTTCGCCAAAACCCCGATACTATCCCTGGCGTATAACTCACCGGAGCAAAGTCGACGAGGTAAGGAAGCGCACATTTGATGCTGCACTTGGAGCCCTTGGCTGGGCCGGCCATCGTCGGGGGGAGCAGGTGTGTCAAGATTTTGAGCATCGTGAAGCAGACTTCATCTGAATGAGAAGGAATTGTACACGGAGGCAACGATAGCAAAAACCTGAGTCAGGTGACATGCACATGTTTACGGGCCTTGAACGCTGGAAAGGGAAGTGGGGTCGGTGAATCGGGCGTAGATTGTCGTAACATGCTGTGAAACTCTTGACCTATTGGGCTGGTGAGACTGCCAAGTAAAAATCGTTACAGAAAGTGGGTGGGTACCCGTTTGTGGAAGATGTTGAGTGCTATCCCAACCATATGCGGGTTTGCTTCTCCACACACATGAAACACTCATTGCAAAATAATTGGCCAAACATCTCAATATATTAAATGTACAGCCCTGTATCAGTCCATCGCTGGATGAGGGCCTCTGCATATTATGTGGGTTTGTGGGGGTGACCATACTTCACCACACTGGTCAGTGTGATGTTGGTGATGGCAGAGAGTATAGACGTGGGAATATAGAAGCACTGGGAAATCCTCGCTTAACGTGTGTTCATAAAATGCGCTTTTGCTATAACGAGGTTCTTCCATGGGGGTTACACTTTTCACGCAAAGCGGAACGTGCCCCCCGTTATGACGCAGTTTCTGAGCGGTCGACAATGAACTACTTTCTTGAGCTGCGTGCCTAAGCTGTATGATATTGTACGCAGAATGATACATTATGCGGCATACCCTCATCTCGGTTATTTGCCCTGCCATGGGATAACTGCAGGATTATTTAAAAGTGCAAATGTGATTCAAATTTGCAATGTTTCATTTATTCATTCCCTGTAATGTGTGTATATATATAGCCAGTAATTCCACGCGTAACGTGGCAATTTTCAGGAATGCATCTTCTGTGTTAAGAAATTACTGTTTCGTACTACAATAGATTTTTCTGCACTGCTCTCTGCTGCTCACCACGCAACCCCATGCCCTATAACAACCTGCTGTGCATGGTGGTCCCCATTCCAAGCTCAAGCCTGCTTTAGCTTCCGAGATCTTGACGAGATCGGGCGTGTTCCAGGTAATTTAGTTTTCGAGAATTAAATCGTCTCGCGGACGAGCGTACATTGGAAAGCATGTATGTGCAGTAAAACCTTGGAATGCGAGTAACTTGGTCTGCGAGTGTTTTGCAAGACAAGCTAAATTTTTTAATAATAATTAATTTGATAAACGAGCGAGGTCTTGCAATACGAGTAGTACGTACACGCTTTGTCTGCCGAGTGTCACGTGATCACTACTGATATACGAGTGCTTTGATATATGAGTGCTTTGGATTACAAACACGTTTCCGGAACGAATTATGCTCGCAATCCAAGGTTTTACTGTATGCTGAACTTCTTTTGCACCGTATGTAGCCAATCGTGCTCATTGGAGGTGCAAAGTGTGTCCACCCCCGCACTGTAATAAAGCATCCTGTAATCCACGCCTTTTTTTGCTCCGCACCTCCGATTAGCACGGTTGGCTATGCATGGTGTGAAATCAATTCAAAATACATACGTACATACTCATTTCTGGTTGCGCCTTCCCTTCGAGGGGACTGCCTGCAGCCGCGTCTCTCTGTGGCTGATAAAGTGGGGGTGTGTGTGGACCGTCGCGCTCACCGGGGGTAGCTGCCACCTCCACATCCCGGAGAAGGATCTTCACGTCCTCGGACTCGTGAACGGCGAGCCGGCGCAGCTTAGGCACGTACGTGTGCTCCCACCGCTCCACAAAGTTGCGTCCCTTCCCGTATGAGATTTTGTCGAACTCCGCATCGAGCTGGGCGAGGGGGACAATTTTGCGATTTTGACCGCGATGTTCATCAGCGGGGTCAAAGGTGCCCCCCATTATTGTCGTTGTCATCAATCAAATAATAATTAGGGTCATTATTATTGTTATCTCTAGAATATTGCAATTGTCACTAAACATTGATGCCATTGCCGATACACTCACCCATACAGTCACATGCAGTTACCTACCCAACCACTCACATGCATCCTACCTACATATTTATCAAACCATCCACCCACTCATCCACCTGAATTCTGACCCATCCACCAACCTACCCTCATTCAAATACTCAAATACACACCCATACTTGCCTAATCACTCCATGATCAAATTAATCACATTCTCACGTGTAAACATACCCACTCATATACGCATTCATTCACACACCACCCTCACCCACCCATTCACACTCACTCATCGGCACACTCACTCGCACTCACACACAAACCCACGTAATCGCCCAACACTCAATAACCCACGATATCACAATTTCATCTAACATACTTACCCATTCATTCACCTTACTCACTAAATCACCCACTCATTCACAAACTCATCCAAGCACTCTACCCACACCACCCAGCCACCAACCCGACCACCACCCGCAATCTAACTCAACTCACCAGACCGGGAATGGCCACCAGGCGCTGGAAATCTCGCGGGATTTGCTCTGGGTCACTCGTGGCGTCGCTCGGGTCCAGCAGCAGTGTCCGGCTCCGCTTGACGGCCATCGCCGCCGCCATGCCGCACCCGCCCTCCTCCAGTTTCCGCTTGTGCCTTTTCGAGAATTTTTTCTGGTCGGCGTTCAGCTTGCGCCGCAGATTCCGCAGACGGACTTCTACAAATCCCGTGTGGCCCTGAGGGTCGTAAAAATGTTCCTGTGGCAGACACGGGCGCAAGATTGTTCGATGCGGACCGTGCGCATTTGTTTTGCTGTAACGGCGGTGGCCAAGCTTCCCCGCTGTACGTGCCACATGCAAAAAATCTTCATATGGCCGAGAGCAGCAAGATTTGCAGGGCCGGTGTGCATCTGTGAAAGCGCCCCAGGAGTAATCATGTTTGGCTCTGTTGCCAGGTGCAAGTGCCCCAGGCCACTCCTGCTTCTGCAAATGTTTTTCTATTTCAAATGAGGTTACATTGAAAAGTAAAACAATTGTATCTCTCTTGAGCCACACTGTTAACTATCCAGGAGCCGCATGCGGCTTTTGAGCTGTGGTTTGTCCATCCCTGCACTGAAATAATATTAGCGACGACTATTAAATCCTAACGCAGTGTCAGACTCATTTTCAGAAGGATCCTGCATGGGGTTTCTTGGTCAATGTCTCTTTAAGGATGCTTTTGCAATAAATTTAATGTTTTCCACTCACATTCTTACCACCAACTTATTCACCCACTTACTTACCACATTGTTACCCACCCACAATACCGACGCACCTTATTAACTAATTCAGTCACTCACACAATTACTTGCCAACACACTCACTCACCATCGTACGCACGAAATTACTCGATTAGCACGGTTGGCCACATACGGTGCGAAAGAAGTTCAACATACGTACTCACCCACCGACCCACCCACCCTTTCACCAACTTACTCAACCACCAACATAATCGCTCACACTCTCAACCAATAACATATACACATACTCGGTCACATACCCACTCACTCGCTCGCTCGCTTGCTTAACTCGCTCATCTACCCGAGAATAAATTAGGTAAATAAACTCACATGGCCAGTGACACTCGAGTCCCCGATGTCCAGTCTCTGGGACGGGAAGATGTCGATTATTTCCTGGGAGATGCTCGTCTTCTCCACGGAACTTGGGTAGCTAGAGGGAGTTGTGGGAGCACAGAAATACCCATGCGGCGTCATGATAAGCCCCCCCCCCCCCCCCAAAAAAAAAACCATGCCTCAATGCCTGATACATGCAGTGTAATACTGCTCTATGCATCATGTCATTGAACTCTCGCCGAGCGGTGCATTGCCCTGTGTGTTATAAAATGGCCCGTGGAAGGCACCATCACGGAACTACTTCTGAGGTCCATTTATGGGGCGCTTCACATTCACACATTCACTGTGAATGAGAAATGTTGTTCGATAATTGGCTTTTTACCCTTTTATCTGGCAACAAAACTGACACCTTTTTTAAAGGAGTCATGTTTACATTGACCACAATACCTGCGGTCGGAACGCAAACAAAAAACAACTCTGATAATGTATGCACTGTCCTTGAAATTGATTGGTCCACACCCGAGACAGCTTTCTTTAGAGCCTCGTCTCACATGGTGTTGGACCAGAAGACGCCAAAAGGCGCACAACTCAAAGACAATGCACCATCAGAGTTACTGGCAAATGAGGTTTCCAATGGTGTAAATGTTGTTCGCATTACTATCGCATTAGCCAAAGTAGGTGAAAAAGCAAACAATTTGTCAGCGACTGGACTAAGACCATCAATTCCCTACACTTGAGAATCCGGTTCGATCACGGGTGGCTGAAACTTGTATTCGAGCTCAGGTTTTCATAACACATGTATCAATTTGGACATGTTTGTAATGTACACCTAGACTAACTGTCAAATTATGAAAAGTAGACCTTTCAATTAGATTAAAATGTGTCGATAAATTAGACTAAAATGTGTCAATAAATGACCACGCATTGAATTGAAATTGAATTGCAACAAGCGTAGTAGCTAGCTATGCTTCAAACCATACAATAAACTAATGCGGCTTTCTTATAATAAATTAAACAAATACCGTATCCATCCTGTTCTTCCTGTAAAGTTATGCAGGCCGGACATCGATTCCAAAGACTTTCATCCCACAATTCCCTGCTTAAAAAATGCAATGTATTACTACTTCTTCTTCTTTCGTATGGCCGATGAAGATGCAGAGCAACAACTACAAATTTACATTCAGGTGGTTAAGCCAGATAATCAGGTCAATAGTAGCGGAGTGGATCGCTATTTGTGGACTGGGCATTGCGTTGTTACATGTTGTACGGTCTGTTCTGGATGACCACAGCCGCACGCTGGAAAGTTTTTAATTTATCTTACTAAGCATGGACTTAAGCCAATGTTAAGGGGAGTTTAACCTCATAGGTAATTTGTCCCTTCTTGCTGATTATAGCATTTTAGAAGTATCGTAATACAACTCCATATCTGTAGTTTTAAAAGTAACATAACCGAATTACTTGCCTATGTTTAAAATTACTTCATGTAAATCAGCCTAATGCAAAATCAACTCGGAACACGCCCGATCTTGCCAGATCAAAGCAGGCTTGAGCCTGGATAGTGCTTGGGATGGTTCACCACTGTGCAAAGCAGGTGACTATAGGCTGTGGGACTATGTTATGGGAAGGACAGTGTGGGGAGGCCCAAATCCTGCAGCGGAATAACAAATGGCTATCCACGCATCTTTACATCAACGCATGCTAGGCTGATTTAAATTAATAAATGACAGCACTATGCTCAGTGTGTACAGAGACATACATTGTCTCTGTAAACACGTATAGTAAAACTGGTCCACAGTTTTGCTTACAATGAATCAACGCTGCTGAAAATCATTCACTTCCAGAAGCCTGTGGGACCTATGGGTTGTGTAAACATTACTTATATTTAAGTGGAGACAGCTTTATGAGACATTGTCTACATATCTATATTTGGTAATACTATAGGACTACTGGTGCTGGTCTTTGGTAATCGGATTACGCTAACCGGTTACCGCCCAGGACTACACATACACAATAAAGATGCACACGTACAACACGCTTTCGCACATATAACCGCACATATATAAACACATGCACATAGTTATATACTGCATAAAGATCACTATATAGCCTTATTAGTTGAGTGGTCAAATGCCGTTAGCGAGTACCTATTTAGGTCATATCGCGTACATTAAGGTCGGTGACCAGTGTCATGCCTCGCTGTCTTTGTCTCTTGAGTGCTAAAGTTTACACACCGCACCAGCTACTTATTTAACGCCAAGTTCACCTAGGGGAGGCCCAGAACAGGTTCAGATTCCACTTGCCACTGATGTCATCCATGGCTGGGCATCGAACGCCTGTCTACAGGTTTGCAGTGCTGTGCACGAACCACTACATCACCACTCCTCACAAACGCATGCACACTAACTGCACATACGCCAAGACAAGGACTTCTTCAGGCTCACAAACCTCACTTTAAAATGGTGTGAGCAACCATTAAGGTTGCCACAGTACACGAGGGGACACACACGTAACAAACACAGAAACACAACAGTTTCTCCCGAACAATGAGTATATCTACGTAGCAACAGCCTAGCGTATGTCCGTATGTCTAGCAATCTATCTGGCCATCTGCCTCTATGCCTGCCAATCAGTGTGCCTGTGACAGTCTACCTGTTCTTTCTATGTGTCTGTGTGTGTGTGTCTTGTCTGTATGCTGGACCATAGGTCTCTATATATACACCTGCATGCCAATCTACTTGTGTGCCTACCTTTCGTCAGCCTGTTTTCTCTTCTGCCCGTCTGCCTCTCTGCTTGCCTGCCTGCTAGTCTGCCTGTATGTCTGTCTTTTTGCCTGTGTGACTGCCTGCATGCCCGCATGTCTGCATACGTGTCTGGTCAATCCTGCCAGCGTTCTTGCCTTTCTCTAACTCTGCCTGCCTGTTTGTCTGTCTGTATATCTGTATGTATATCTGTATGCACATCTGTCCGTCCGTCTGATTGGGAGACAACACCTCACCACACCGCGACACTGTCGAACTGCTCAGGAATACGTACAAGCCGTGCCGTTCGACCAGGTGGGAAACGGCCAATTTGACCAATTCCTTCCTCGAGGACTGCGATAACATGCCTGTGCTCTGGCACGCTTCAAAGAGGTGTGGCGCGCGCCTCTGCAGGAATGCGCGGAGGTTCAGGGGTGCCCGGGTCCCCGCAGCGCTCTGGCAGTTAGCGGCGACCGCCTGCGGAAATAACAGTGTCGCCGTTATCATCACGATCATCATCACTGTCGTTATCGTTATGATCGTCATCATAATGATCATCATCATCTTCATGACGATTGTCAATCATCGTCATAATCGTCATCATCTTTTAGTGTGCTGTTGCAACTATTGTTGCGAAGTTGTCATCGCCACCACCATCCTCGCTACCAATTCCAACATGACCCTAGTCTTCATTTCAAATATGTAATATCAGCATTGTCTTCATCATTTGTCCTCTGGACCAAATATCCATTTCCATAGGCCAATTCAATTTCGGACTCAGGGCTGCAACAATGAGCATTGTCCCATGTTTGTATAAGTTGGGAGAAGCTAGATGGGTAAGGATGCTTTGATTCATCAACTAAAATAGATTCTTACGATAACTTTGCATGGAACAAGTCGTGCGTGAAAGAATCGATTATTTACCATTTTTGAAAGAATTATAGAATCGATTCGTGCCATGATTCGTGACAATTCCTCCAAATACTGGAGGGATTAATCGGTACATTACTAGGAGACATTCATTTTGTTAATTGTACGAATCAAATTATACACATGACTAGGAGAGACTCATTCATAGTACTATAAAAATGTACACAAATGGACACATCTGAATGAGGTCAACTCATAATCCGCAGCTCAGAAATTCAAATCCGGGGTGGCAGCCACCTCAGCCCATCATCATCATCCTGCAAGGAGGTTACATTATTGCCATTTTGTGGGAAGTCAATGGTGAGTGTTCTATGTAGAGAAAAACTACTGCCATGGGAATATGGCATTTCCACAATTAGCTTAGGGCTGTCAATAGAAAAGAGCAGTGCCTCCCACATCACTTATCTTAACAGGGACAAATTTGGTACAATATCGTTTGGCTCTATATAGAGCGTCTAAATGCAACCCTGTCTCAACATTCACATCTTGACAAAATAGCCAAAAGCATTGCTTGCGTGATGTTTTTCCAACTGCATATAATTAATACATGTCCTGTCCTTGGAAAGTTTTAATTCAATTGTTTCCCATCGCATGATCTCATTCGATTACAATGTTACACTTTTTAATGACAATGTTGTGTTTGTTAGTAGAGTACACCATGATGATATGTGCCTGTTATGATAATCGCTGTGGTATGTTCCGCATGCTTTAACATGCTGCGTTTAGCTCTCATGTGCAACCTCAATTCCTCTCGTCGGCCTCTTTAACGGTGTACGTTTGGAGGTCTGAAATGCAATGCACTGTCATCAGTCCTTGATCCATGTCAGCCTTACAAAAAGACTTCCAATCTCAATTTGTTTTCACCTGGTGAAACAAAGACTTATTCTCGAGTAATATAATGATAACAGACTGAGGGTATAACAACCATATTGATACATGCCGTCTGCATCACAGTGGACATTAAAGATCCCCTGACATCATTTGCAAGAGTAGGCTATCGCGTGCTGGCGTCAGAATTTTACCAAATTCGAAAATTCCACCGCAAACACCTTGAGACTAAACATAGAAATTGTCGCCCACTAGCGGCTAATGCCCCAGGTCACTCTTGCAAATGAGACTCACCCTGGTCTCTCCGAGTTCTCACATGGTTAAACAAAATAAACTTAGAACTTAAAATTATTTGTCTCCTTCACTCGCTCAGGAGTCAAAACTTTTTTGTACACTTTAAATTTAAGATCGCTACACTCCAATGGTCTCCATTGATTGAGTTTATTGTTATTTATCACATGACGTATGTTACAGGTTCGTTTTGATGTTGCAACAATTACGGTCACACTTTTTTTTATGTTCCAACTGGCGAAACAAACGAGAAAACCAAACATGTCAAACTACACAATACAAATTTGTGAAACGTAGGTTGTGTGTGTCAGTCATCTCAGTCAGTTAACCCATAGTACCTGGGCATGTCCCATGACCTCCTGCCAGTGAGCTTTCGACATGTTACATGGTATCACAGTCCACCTAGGCTGTCATAAGTGTAAAAGTGGCATCACCATCACTTAGTGGCAAATGGTCGCTGTGGTTGTTATCGTCCGCACTCTTAATTGCAATGGTTTGCACAAGGCACTGCAATTCCAACCTGGGTACGATTCTCAGCCACTGAAAACGTCAGTGACAACTGGAACCTCACCCTAGCCTTAGCCACTCCTAAGCTAAATGAGTGTTAAATGGTCACCTGGTGGTGTTGTATATGTGAATATCGGCATTGGGGAGACATAGGCGATTGGTGTAGTGGTGGCCACACCACCGCCATTTCCCTGTGTGCGTGCCATGCTGGCCTTAATAGGTGCTCCGTAGTTTAACACGTAGGCTTTCGCAATCAATATTATCCACAAGAGCTTTTTTCGGTTAGATCGCGTATATAAAAATGTGTCGTTAAACCCACCACTATTACTCTATGAATAACCCAACCGATAATGGATATCCATTGTTATTTATATGCATACAATAACCCCCCCCCCCACCCCTGGCATTCGCACCTGATTGGCTCACAGGTGACGACATGACATTTATCCCTCTATTTAAGAACGAAACAGAAGCATTTCTCCAAATCTGGCTGTCGCCTGATGATGTTGGTTGGAATTACTGGTGAAACGTCATACTCAAATCGTAAATGTTGTGGGTTTAGTCTCCAACACACCGGTGTGCTGTACTAGTAACGGATTGGCATGTTTTGCTTACGTGACACACTTTACTGTTGGCTGTCTGGTGGTGGCGGGTTTATTGACACATTTATATTTACGAAATCTAATCCAAAAAAACCTCTGTTAAGGTGCTCCCTAATTTGCACTTATGGTCTAAATGGCTCAATAGGGAAGGTTTGTGTTCAAAGCTTCACCCGCCATTTACGTTAACAAATGCAGACAAACGCGACCTCATTATAACCCAAATAGCATCAGATTACCAAAAAATTTAAATTGGTTGGTCAAATTTCACAAAGGTATTCATGGAGTTAACCAACATCAACATAAAATAATAACTCTTGATTTTACAATTGGAACGGTTTCAAGGTCAAATCCCACTTAACAGTCAGCTCAGCCCCCAGAGGGCACAATCTCCAGACCTACCAATCTTACTTGCATATACGCACGTCCTCTGTTGTGACCGTAAAAATAGGTTCAATAAAGTCAACTCAGCCCATCATAATTTATCCTCGAATAAACATCACCATCATAATCGTCATTGTCACCATCACTACCACCGGCAGCTGGACGCATGATACATGAAATGGATCGTACATGCAAGAATCAACTAGTTTTTTTGATTCGTACACCTTTGCACGTAATGGGTTCACGTTAGCTCTGCTGCTGCTAGTGGCCAAAACATTTCACCGCAAAATAAAAGAAATGAAGTGAATATTGGATCAATATGGCAAACCACGAATCACATCCAGGGCTTAATTTCTGACTGAAAATGGAGTAGGTGGCACGTGACTAGCAATCACAGCTATTGCAAAAGGTATACTGGATGTGGTGTGCCGGGTATGCAAATATATTCCGGGTCACGGACCCGGACAGGCCCAACTGAAATTAAAGCCATGCATATATCGTGAAAGAAGCACCATGACACGCTGCTGTGGGTACAGGGTAATGGCATCACTGCAATTCAAACATACGAACCGCAGTCCCTATCATGCGGAGGGCTAAGTCATACAAACCATACAAATCAGTCCCAGGAATTTCGTGACCGTACCCGATGGCATTCTGCCAAATGGACCAGAGGAATGGTCGTGCAGAGATTCGAACTAATTAGATAACCAACGAACACATGCGAGCCTACAAAGGGGCCCAGGCAACCCTACCCCTCGGGCTTCTTGTCCCCGCACGAGTACCTGGGCAGCACAACCAAGTTCTGCCACCCACGCACCTGGTAGCGGTGCGAGCCTTGCTCTGCGAGGGCTGGGCCGGCTGCGACGTTAGCGATGGTGGCGGCTGCAGCGGCGGCGGCAGCAGCAGCGTCAAATGGGCGCGAACGTTCCCTCGACGGATCCATCGGCCTGGGCCTGATGGGCCTGTACTTGGGCACAGAGGCCACGGGCGTCCGGTAGTTTGTGGCAGCTGGCGCTGACGTTGATGCGTGCGTTGGCACGGGCGCGCAACGTTTGGCGATCGGACGCAGAGCGGTGTTGCTGCGAGGAGAGAAGGGTCCCGATGTCGTTGACGATGATGCTGGGGCGGAGGAGGTAAAGGAGGAGGAGGTGGTGGCGGAGGAGGAGGCGGTGGTGGTGGTTGTGGCGGTGGTGATGGTGGCTTTGGGGCGGCGTCGTGGTGGGGCTGATCGGCGTGCACGGGGATAGCGGCCCGAGAGGTTGGTGAGCGTCTGGCAGGCAGAGTCCTGCAGCGAGGTGACGTCCTTGATGATGAAGCCCGCAGAGGAGGAGCTTTGGCCTGGAGGTGGAGAAAGCGGAGATGACGACGGAGGCGACGGAGGAGGTTAAGGAGGTAGAAGAGGAGATGATGGATGGAAGAAGTGGAGAATGAAGAGGAGTTGGTAGTGGAGGTGGAGGAGGACCTGGTGGTATCATTCAAGGTATTTTTATTGATAAACTAACTTAAATGCTCCATTTAAATACCTTGATTAAATTCAATACCATCCTGTCGGTTGGTCCATGCTTCGCTCTAGCACCAATTGTTAAGAGGAGGTGTAAAGAAGCCTTTTTGTGGGAAGTCAACAGTAGACGTCCCATGGAGCAATTTATGCCCAACATAGGAATGTGGAATTTTCACTGCTGGCACGGGACCACCAACCGAGATGAGCCCTGCCCATGGCTCGTTTGAGCAGGGAGACAGGTTTGACGATGACAACTACGCGAGCCATGCTTGCCGCACGAGAAGCTGAACCTCAATGGACCCTCGGGAGGTTAACCGAGCCATGTCCAGTGCCATGCTGTGCCAACTCGGCACAGCTCCAGGAGGCCCCTGATTGATTTTCCACTGCAAAAGCCAGGCATGCCCCTGACTGATGTCACATAAACGTTGTACTGGTCGTTTTTGTTGTAACTTTCTAACTAGCTCCTACCAGACATCTGTGAAAAAGAGCTTCATAGTTCATCGGATTTATCCAGGATAAATAAAGATTCTGATTCACATGCACTGTCTCAGGTAAGATGTGCCAGTGGAAAAGAGGTGTTAAAGGACAATTGAACTGCACGAGTGCACAGCCGTCATACCATTAGATGGGTCCATTTGCAGCGTGCGCTCTCTGTAAACCAAGTCACCATCGTCCACAGCCTCTTCCACCTCGTCTGGAAATGCACACTTAAAATCAGGACCCCTGTGTTGACTTCCACAGTGCAATGGCTATGGGTCCACCCTTGCAATATACACGGCATCTGTGCAAGCACACGGAACACCTCACCGTGATCGCAAGTCTCCATTTTAATGATGTGTCCCGACCATTCCAAGCCGGTGAAGTCCACGTTCGGTATCAGATTCTCCCCCGTCTCATCTGCCGAAAGACACACATTCAATTAAAAGTTTTACAAGATCTGTGCCTTTGGTAGGGGTCTCTTGATTTAAATAGGGGTCTCTCTCTCGGGCAGTGTTTCTCAAGTTCAGTCCTTGCGACCCCGACTGGTACAAAGAACAAAAAACTGAATACATTTGTCAATAACACTGTGGCCTTAAAGGGAAAAGTTTATAATAGGTGAAGTTTTGGGAAATAGCCCTTCATAGCATGTAAGAAACCAGTACAGATGTCCTTGATTACCAACCATCAGGTACAATGCAGTGTGCAGTAGATCAATGTGCACAATAATATAAATATGTGGGTTGGGCACATTCTATTATGTAACAGCTTGGTGAAGAAAGGTCTGCAAGGATGTTGAGGACAAAAAAGGCAGAAAAAATGCTGATTTGACAACTGGAAAGGGTCTATAAAGTGAAATTAAGAACGCTCAAAGATAAGATGGGATTGAGGGAATTTCTGCAAAAGATATGCTATTTAGCAAAAGACTAAAGTGGGAGAGAACAGAAAAGACTGGTAACCACAAAAAGGATGGGTCACGAGAAATGAAGTTGAGAAGCACCGCCATAGGTTGAGTAGGGGTCTATTCTCAGTTTCAGTCAGGATCTCTCCCGCTTGTCAGTCTTTTTGGTTTCAGTAAGAGTGTGAATTAAGTGGAGGTCTATCTCTTCGTTCAACAAGGATCTTTCTAGGTCCATTCTAGGATCTTTCTTGGCCCTGCAGTGGCGAGATGTTAACTCCCTTGCCTGGTATGCAGGATGTCGTGCATTGGATCCCTGGAGAAAAGTCACGTGTACGAGGGGGAAGCAATCAATCCCGTACACACGGAACCGATGGAGTCCATATTTTCGCTGTATGCCATCTCCTGGCGAGCCAGGATATGGCACAAGGTTAGTTCGATCCACTAACCCTCTGTCTCCACAGTGCCGGATTACAGGAATGCTTAACCACCACCGTTTCAGTGTGTTCTGAAAACCTACACGTATATTACGATGGGTGAAGAGTTCAATACATTGAATGAGAAAAGTACAAACTCACTGTAAGGCGGGGGTTCACACTCGCTCGCTTCCAGCAGCTCCGTTGCCGCGCTGCACGCCGTCACGTCATCCTGGTGTTGAACTTCCTCCCCAGGTGGACTGGAGGGCTCAACATATGTACCGGCGCCATCCATGGCCCCCAGCCTCTGCACGGACAACAGCAGCTCCCGGCTCAAGCCGCTGAACAGCGCGAGCAGCACCTCCACCAGGCCTCCCAGGGTCACGTCACCAGGGGAGGAAGCGGCGTCGTCCCAGCGCGGCGTCCCGGCGTCGTGGTGCTCGGCGCCCTGCAGGGCCTTCACTACCTGCCGCAGCACGGCGTAGAAGCCGAAGGGCAGGCGGTCGCGCGCCGTGGCCAGCAGCTCGGCCCGCACGAGGCCGTCCCCGACGCAGGCGCGCAGGACCCCGTAGTCCCGGATGCCCAGCTCGGAGTCCATGGCCCGGGCCACCTCCGCGTTCACGCCCTGCGCCTCCAGCCACGCCGGGAAGTCCCCGCTTGGCTCCAGCACCGGGGTGGCCACTGCGCACGCCATCCTGATGGGGTGTGGAGGAAAATCTAAGAATAAAATATAGCCATTGATTTGAGTGTTATTGGATTTATTTATTTTAAGTAACAAACCAGGTCAGCTTGAAAACATTGCTAAATCGCGTTTGCATGCTCTCCTTTCATACATGTGGTTTTCTCCACTCACTATAGTTTTCCACACACACCAAACAAAACTCCGATCATTCAAAATAGGTTCAGCAGTGGAGCAGTGGTTAGGCGATCTGCACTGTGAACCCAGCCACCATAGTCGATACCCTGCCAAGGCGAATATCAGTGGGGAGTGATATCCGAACCGGCTTTGCGGCCCCACCTTCGCCAAGCCACATTGATGAACATATGGTTGTATTCGGTTACGTTATTCTAAACAACAATTTGACTTGACCAGTGTAGACTGACAAAAGCTGAGGTTATCATTATAGAATTGCTGTTAAATTATTATCACCATGCATCATACATGTATATGTATGTTTAACTTCTTTCGCACTGCACATAGCCAGCCGCACTCATCGGAGGTTAAATCGGCACTCCTTTTGTAGGAGTACAACTCTGCTTCTCGTTTGCCAATGAGAGTGAAACTTATCCTATCTGCCCTTCAAATTAGATGCACCCCTGACTCGATCCGTATTTGCCTGCGGATATGAGGAAACAGGAGAATCATTTCATTATCCGCGTGAAGGCAACACAAAATTACAAGAATAATAACTAGCAACAGGATACACCAGCAGTGGACACAATAAGTAGTGTGCATAAGAGCTGTGCAATTTGTTTATGCATTCTTCTGGAAAATGAATAATACTGTGTGAATCTAAATCACATACCTGTCAACCCCTTATCAGTGTCTACCTTATTACAGACAAATTCAGACCGTATCGGTCACCCACTCACCCCGTGCCCTTATAAATCTCAACGTTCATCCTACAAAGTCCCATGCCAAGGGAGAAACACAAATACACAACGCATTATTTTTTTGCCCGTATTGAAATGGCGCCAAGCCATGTGGACCTGAAAACTCAATTTCCCTGTACAAGAAGAATACGGGTAAACCCATATGAGTTGACATGTATGTAATCACAATCAGCAACGGGATTCTGAAAGTGCCAAGCTGTTGTCAGCAACACTTTTAAAACAACCCCCCCCCCCGCAAGTTGTAACCAGGTGTGATGATAGACGGTGGGTTCCGCAAATAAGAGCGGTTCAAATAGACAGCCGGACAGACGACCACGGCGGACTGACGAACAGACAGGCCAAACCGACTGACAGTATCAGAATCTTAATTTGTCCTGGGAGGCATTCGGATGAGCTATAAAGCTCTTTTTCACAGATGTCCCGGTAGACTGACATGACAAACAGGAGCCCAGACGGACCTACATGACGAAACGACAGACACGATGGGAAATAACGAACGGACCTATACGCGGAAATGACACGCACAAAAATTGCGAGAAACTTTGGAAGATTTAACGACCGCGGTGGAGGCAAGGAGACAGCACGACTCACTTGACTTTGAAATGAGGGGCACACCAGCGGGAGCTCGTCAATAAGCCGCAGAGCTGATTAGCAATGCTGCCGCTGCTGCCGCCGTGTACATTTACAAACCATCATCACCAGCCATGATCAATCCACTGCTGCGGTACAAAGGGACCTTGTCCCCTTCTTCGAGAGCGTCGCCATCAAAGGAAAAGGCCTCGCGATATCGCGATCAAAACGGCGACCTAACCCGATTTCATAACCTTCCATCAGCATTGCCCAAGTCGCCTATAGGTTTATTATCAACGTCTTCGAACGACGAACGTAACTGGGCACGGGTTGACCGACGGACGCAATCGCGCACGCGATATCCATCTCACAAGGAAACGCCCTCGGGGGCCGATTTCAAACCCGTTAATTCGTCGTTGCAATTAAGTCGCCTTCGTTTTAATAAAAATTTTAAAACCGCAATGTGTGTGCAAGATGTCGTGGGGGGGGGGGGGGGGGGGGGGGGTAAGGAGGTCGGGGTGGACGGGGCGGTGGTGGGGAGATTGTTAGTTACAACGTCGCAGCATCGTAGAGATGTGTGGCCATCCGCCCGCTTCATCCAGCAGTGGATGGAGCCATAGCGGACGATGATGATCATGGGAGACTGAGCGAGAGGGTTGTTGTTGTTGTTGCTGTAATAACGCTGCTATCACGTCACACAGCCTTACCCCTCCCTCACACACACACACAACGCCGCGATTAAGACTTTTTTTTTACCCCCCCAACATCGAGGCGGATGCCATTAACAATCTTACCTACGGGTAGGTGAAGGACTTTCGGGAGCCGATATAGCGGTGCCTGCCACGATAACTCTGGGATTGAGAAAAAAAATTGTAATGGGTGGGTGGGTGGGTCGATGGAGTGGAAACCACCAAAGCCGTGGCCTCGCCACCACCAACCACCGCCGCCACCAACCACCAGCCAACAGCTGATCCTTCCCGAGAAACGTTGAACTGAAGAGGAAGAAAGTCTCCACCACCACCACCAACCCTCCACCTCCTCGGCGTCCTTCCTCACGCTGCCGTCTCGAGTCGCCCGGCGGCTGGACGGGGGGCAACAGAAGGAGAAGGAGGCTCGGGTCAAACTCCCCCCCCCCACCCCCCCTGGTCGGGTCAGGGGTCGCGGTGATGATGACACCCGCCGTCTCTTCCTCCTCCTACTACTACTATTGAATTCGATACCAAGGGACCGTGGCAATTTACTTTTTTTTAAAAAAAATTAACCACGCCACCCACGCCACCGCAACAGTGTTTTACTGTAGGGGGCCGTCCATAAATGACGTCACGCGATTTTGGACGATTTTTGACCCCCCCCCCCTTCGTCACACGGCGTCACAAAAAGTCAAACCCCCCTCAAATATGACGTCACAAAGCTCTGCCCCCCCCCAAAAAACATGCTTCAAATCGCTTTAAACTATTGTCATTGTAGTGCGTAAATTTTTATTTAAAGCTTTCGTTACTGCAGTAATTCATATTCTTGGTTCTTTCGGTAAAGTCACGTTGAAGGGAAACAATAAAATAATAAAATATATATAATATATATTGTAGTGCGTATTTAATGTGGCGCTGCACTCTGATGTTGTAGGAGAAAACATTTATTTTAAAAGTCTATTTAATTAAGTAGAACGTGTTGTCGAAATTTATTTAAAGTTGCGCATTTTGATGTGACGTCACATTTCTCAACCCCCCCCCCCCTCGTCATACATCGTCACAAATATCTGATCCCCCCCCCTCCTAGGTGCGTGACGTCATTTATGGACGGCCCCTAGGGGGTGGCCTTTGAATATTGCGGGTGCGTCGTTCGCGGTTTCGACCCATCGCGGGGAATCGACTATCTGCCCATGGATCGTGACGACGATGATGATGACATAACCCACTAATTTAGATAAGACTTAAGCGGCACTTCCCATGAACGTAAGCCCCGCGATATTCTTAAAGGGCCTCTTGTAATTGTTTTTTTATGCTGCAGCGTTGGCAGTGCCGCGCGTAAAAAAAAACTATCAACAAACAAGACAAATCACCACATTCGTAGATAACACTGCCTTAATTCGAGACCCAAATAACCATCGCACAGCTCCTGGCTTTGAAATTCCTCATCGTAGATGCTCGTGTGACCATCAATCGCATCAGATCATCAGCAGGCAGATGCTCACATCCCAAAAGCTGTCAACCCATACGGTTTACCCGTATTCTTGTAACAGGTAAATTAAGTTTTCATGTCCATACAGCTGTTCCAATACGGGCAAAAAAAAGTAACCGCCACTTCTTTCAAATGTTTCCTGCCGTTGGTTTTCACACCTGATGATGACTGCTTGTGTTACAGTCGAAACGTCGTGAGAATTTTTATTGTTTTATATATAATTTATTATTTTATTGTTTCCCTTCAACGTGACTTTACCGAAAGAACCAAGAATATATATTGTCTATTTGTTTTGAGTTTCTCCCTTGTGATGGGACTGCCTCATAAGAGTCACCCAACATTGGAGAGCAGTGGGGTTTTTTTTATTGGCATTACCTAAATAATCTTTATTTTAAACTATGAAACTGTTTTTTTTATTTTACCAGGTAAGACCCACTTAGCCATAGAGCTCTTTTTTTTAGAAGCGATCTGGCCACAAACGTTAGCAAAACGAAGTGGCTTATCACGTGGAAATGTATCGCAGTCGCCAAATACTCTAAACGCGTGATGTTGATTCTAAATGTGGAGAGGAAAACCGAAGGACCCGGAAAAAAATCCACGCGATCACGGGGAGAGAGAGATGCAAACCCCAAATCTACAGCAGGCGTGAGGTTTGGGATCGAACCCATAAGCACAATTAACATAAAATTAACACATTGGTAAATAATACTGTAACCTGAATGGAAAAATATATAACGGAAAAAAATATATAATAGGTGACGTTTCGGACAATGGCCCTTTTTAATGGCACATAATGCAACTGTTCATCTTGCCCCCCCTCCTCGCCTCCATCCTCCACCGCCTCTATCCCCCCCCCCCCCGCCTTAAACCCCTCCGCCTCCATCCCCCCCTCCGCCTCCATCCCCCCTCCGCCTCCACCTCCCCCCTCCACCCCCCCTCTGCCCCCCCCCCTCTGCCCCCCCTCCGCCTCCACCCCCCTCCGCCTCCACCCCCCCCCTCTGCCCCCCCCCTCCGCCTCCATCCCCCCCCGCCTCCACCCCCCCCTCTGCCCCCCCCTCCGCCTCCATCCCCCCCCCTCTGCCCCCCCCTCCGCCTCCACCCCCCCTCCGCCTCCACCCCCCCTCTGCCCCCCCTCCGCCTCCATCCCCCCGCCTCCACCCCCCCTCCGCCTCCACCCCCCCCTCTGCCCCCCCCTCTGCCCCCCCTCCGCTCCACCCCCCTCCGCCTCCACCCCCCCCCCTCCGCCTCCACCCCCCCTCTGCCCCCCCTCCGCCTCCATCCCCCCCGCCTCCACCCCCCCTCCGCCCCCACCTCCACCCCCCCCCCCCCCCTCTGCCCCCCCCTCTGCCCCCCCCCTCCGCCTCCACCCCCCCTCCGCCTCCACCCCCCCCCTCTGCCCCCCCCTCCGCCTCCACCCCCCCCCCCGCCACCCCCCGCCTCCATCCCCCTCCCCCCACCTCCCTCGCCTTAACCCCCCCCCCACCCCCCCGCAATACTTCCCCCCCCACCCCCTTCCCCACCAACCTCCAACCAACCCCCAGGCAAGGTGGCGCCGCTCTTCGCACGCGCCACGATGACGTCGCGCGCCGCGGTCCACCAATGGGAATCCGAGCCGTCGTCGTCGCGGCGCGCCTCTGTCGACGAGGCGAGGAGGCGAGGGGCAGTCAGGCTTTGGGGGTCCCTTTAAGGGGCTTTATTATTATTACTGTTATATTGCGTTGGAAACTACCGCAGCAGCAGCAGCAGCAACAACAACAAATATTTACACCACTTTTCTTTTATTAACCCCAAAAAGTTCTTCCACGAGGTAAGCGATTTTTTTTTCCTCTCACTCGCGTCTGATTTTATATATTTTTTTATTATTATTATTATGTTTATATATTTATTTATTTTAAGAACAAAAAACACGTAAACCTATTTACAGGGCGGCTTAATTCGTTTTGATCAGCGCGCGCGCGCGCGCGCGTGTGTGCCCTTGTTGCCCAACGCGCCTGCTTACGGTGCGCAGCGCACGCGCGCCGCTGACAAATCTCGCGTGGATTGATGGGGAACCTGAAGCCAGACAGGTTCGAGCCTGGGATAATCACGCCGGTGGTTGTTTACGGACTGTCGTCGGGGCTTGGTGGTGGTGGTGGTGGTGGACTTGCATATGCTCCCGTGGATTTACAATAGAACCGTACGTGACTCGTGCAAAGTGATCGGCGGTCGATGGTGTCATTTGACGTCGTGTGATGCAGAATACATCTTCATCATCATCGTCGTCGTCGCCGCGTAAGGTTAAAGGTCGCCGAACTCGCCATCAAGGTTCAAACACCCGGCTGCGGCTATTGGAACAAGAGGTGACCTTTCCGAAACACATTCATCCCCTCCCCCACCCACCGCCTCTGTCCACCCAGCGGTGCATTATGAATGTGGACCCACGCCCCGAGCTACGGATGGGTTCGCGTGTGATGGGGGTCAAGTGTGGGCACGCCGACCTTACTGGACCGTCTGTGAAAACATACCCCTGTAAGCTTATCGGATTCCTCCGATTTGAATAAATAATTCAGGTACTGGCCTCTTGAGAAAACGTCTGCGCCAGAGTGGAGGAGCTCCGTGTAGTGGAAGCCCTTCTGCTAGCGGTGGTGTGAGCAAGGGCAATTGCAGGGTTGCAACTCTACCTAATTTATATCCGATGTGTTTTGCATACAAGGACACCAGGCCTCGGGACCTCCCAAACAAAATTGAGCCCCCCCCCCCCCGTTAATGGACCGTATTGCCAGCTTGTAGTTTCGCGTGCAGAACAGCAGTAAGTGGAAAACGTGCAGTGAGAACATTCACGCTCTGCGGCCCTGTTATGCTGTAACATTCGGTTCAATGAAACACTTTTTCACCGCACCAAGACAATGGTCACTCTTGGTGTACGCTCAAAGTACCGCATAGAACAGTGCTCTTCATTGCAAGGCCCGCAGACCACTGGTGGCCTCAAGTGCGCCCCCCCCCCCAACCCCCTATAATATACAAACGTGAAAACAGCCCAGCATGCGTGCTATCAAACACAATGGTTTCACATGTGCGGCGACCCCTCACACTGATGTCTTATCGGCGAAAGTGCCCTACCCACCACCTCTAAAAATTAGTGAAGAACACTGGCAAAGCCAAAGAGTCCAGCGACCAAGGCCAGATACTGTTAGGGCAGATGTTTTTTATGTTGCTTATCGACTGTGAAGCAGCAGCGGGATCAGGCAGAAGGTAGAAAGCCAGATAAAGATAGGACCTCAACTCGTTCTCTTCCCTTAAATAGTGTAACCGATCATCCACACCCCAATCACTTTATTGCCTCGCCTCCCCCTAATTGGTTCCCATCACACATTCGTGACTAAGAAAGATTGAGTCGATTCTAACCAAGCGTAGAGTAACATTTCCAGCATCCCCAAATCATTGTATCCACAGCTCGGGCCAATTCAGTCTATAGCTGAGTATCGGCTGGCTTATTGGAAGATTCATTACTGATTTAGGTTTGATTATCCGAATAATCACATAGCAATTGGGGTAAAAAAATATCCCCCTCTGTTCCCACGTGTGTTGGCTTGGCATAACGAGCCGTGCAACACTGGATTTGGCTTGTAGGGGTATTCTGCCTTTGGAACACAGAATGTGGGGACAGCTGCCATTGTTAAACGTGCCTGAGTAATTGACTACAAAAACGTAGCAGATGAAAATATAGTCAAGTAGTTGGTCGATAGTCCCAACTCTAATTCGCTCGATTACAGCACAGACTAACCTAAAACCAGAGTCTGTTGGTCACTTAAGCAAAATCTGGAATCTCATGGCATTTCCCAAACGGGATGGTTAAAATAAATAATTACCCGAGACATTACATGTATTTTCTTGTTGGAACTGCCCACTACATCCCATCAGAATGGCGTACACAGTGACCACCCCGGTGCTGGAGCCGAGCAGTGACTTCCCAGCATGGCTGGAGGCCCAGGGC